ATAAGTATCTCAGTCCACACACATTTGAAGCATTTATTGATTGTAACTTAGTGGCACATTGGCCATAAATTCAGCCCTCTTGGCTGTACAATGGGGAGGATAAACAAGAATAAGTGACCACAGACTCTCATCCTTTTTTATTATCGTTTCCCATCTTCCTTGCTTCGCTTGGTAGCCACTGTTCCTTAACCGCAGATATTTTAGTCGGGTACCCGCGGAAGCCACCCACCCGTTGCTCCGTTGTTGCATCCTTCAAGGCGGCGACCTTTTAACACGTGGGCCAACATGCTAGCACTGTGGATATTCTACCGGTTGACGTCTGCTACGTACCTGAAATTCGAATATAAATTCCGAGTATAGCAAATTCGCGCACAGCACCCTCCAACTAAACGCTCTCGGGTATGTAATCCGAGAGGTGCTGCGTCTGCTGCGGTTGATTGCCAGTGTAGTCATCCCGTTACAAAGAGACTGGACCTTGCGACGCTGTGATGGTTTGTGTCTGTCTCCTATATCAGGTTGACCAGTGGGCAGCGGTTTAGTTAACGCAGTCTCCTGGTCCACCGGTTTCGGGGTTGGAACATGCGTGATGACTCGTTCCCTTAAAATGAAGGCTTCCCTGATGATCTCACGCCAACCATCGCCTCTTAGTTTCTGGACCAAAGGCTTTGGCTGATGAACCTAGTTGTCCTCCTGTCTAGTTGTACGCCCTCTGGCAGTACCTCAGCCCACAAATGACCATGAATAGCTCATTTACAAATAATCTCACGCCACATCGGTCGTCGCGTGGTGTCATCAGGGTACAAGTGGGTGGGTGAGCAAACACAAGCAACCACTGACGTCTTCCTTCTTTCTGTTTCACATATCCGCTCCTCTCATCCGCAGCTTATTTCTAGTGACGTTTCCTTAATTACACTAAATGAATGCACCCATTGCCGCTAGCTACAAAATCTACAGTTGGTTCAGCCACCATGACTACAGACACTTCGAAATCATTCTTCGATCTCTACCGCGTGTGCTGCTTCTGAGAACCGAGAATCAAACATCCAAGAACATCTATTGAACTGCCTTCCCCATCGACATCCGCTCGCATCCGGTTGTTTGCCTTCGGTGATTCGGAATCCGCTGCTGCTGATTCTGATTGTCTTGGTACTGTTCCAGGACACCGAGCTGAGTGGTTTCTCAGTGAATGTTTGCCCGTTGACAGTCATCTCTGTGCGGTTCATTTGGCAACGTCTGTGAGAATATACCGGTAATACACCGTTAGTCACTGTTTATTCATTGTTTTTGCCTAGCCTTAAACGGACTGTAGCTCTGATGCACACAAAAACAGTTTTTATGACGCTTTGAGCACCCCGTTGTAACGATCTGAGGGCTCAGATACTATTGTAGTTGCGGGGGATACGAATGCGCAAGAAGGTAGAGGCCTCTGAGGCTCAACTCTTCTTTGGAACCAGAATGCAGACGCATGGGCAATGCTCGCTGCAGGTATATGCTGACCACAACCTGTACCATGTTCCGAAACAACAGAAGCCGCTTGGCGGCATGAAGCCCCACGCATGTGGGTTAGCCTCCAACACAGATAAGCCACATCACTAGTAGCTGTAGGTGGCGTGGGTTGATTACTGACCGTCACTTGTTTTGTAACACCTCATCATCATCAATGACAGTAACATCAGCGTTGACACTGATGCTTCACTGCCGTATTTGTAACACCTATACGGAATCGGATCCCGTGCTTGTTCGTTGCTCCTGGAGAGGATTAAGGGTGTTACGAGAAGTTTGGGTATTGTTGCTGCTGTTTGCCTTTCGGGATAGGGTACACGTGACGCTCTCTATATTTGGCTGGAGACGCTGCACGATATGGGTCTTACCGGTGTCAGCGGTATTCATGCTGTCAGTTTCTATCCAGGTTGACTGAATGCTAGAGATGTGGGCATCTTGGACTTTTTGGTCGGCTAACTCTGGGTCCTCCTCCCTTCCCCGTCTTTTTCTTCCTTCGATTATAAGGTTGCGAGCACCTGTGTTCTTATTTGGTGTTGCCATCAATGATATTAATGACTGTGACGGTGACGATGATCATATTTTGGTCCTCCTTTTGCGTCCCGCGACCTCATAAGTCGTCTTGATGTCACTCCACGGCTTCTGGTTTTCCACTCCTTTATATTCTCACAGGTATAGAGACAACGAACGTGTACATTTTTGTGTCAGCAAGCTCTGGTATATCGGAAGATATCTACTGGAATTAGTCACCGTTCACTACGGGGAGTGTAAGATCCGGACTGTTAAGTATCTCACAGGACGATTGCGGTTATTGGATTATACGCAGTTCGTGGCCAGTAGTCAATAGGAGCAGACGGACGTGGGGAAGCAGATGATATATTGGGGACTGACAGGAACTGGTTCTACAGAAAAAGGATTATCAAGCGTAATGAATTAAGCAAACGTACAATCAACAATGACGCAATCAGCAGGCATGGAAGATAGTCACTGATGCAGCACGGATTACTAAACATAAGAGCAAGTAAGTACCAAACGATGTACAAGCACACATATAGGAGCAGTCTGACAGTGTGGGTTGGCCGTAGCGGCGCAGGAGTCAGTACGTTCGGCATGTGAGCGACTGTGTTTCGGCTGGCGTCACGCGGCTGCTCGTGTCGCGTGACAAGACAGATTATGCGTTTTCGTGTGTTTAAAACAATCTCGCCAAAGGCTGTCTGACAGTCGCTGTACGCAGGCATTCCGGGCATAAGGTTGGTCTAGTTGGTAGCGCGTTTGCGTGCCATCCGGAGACTCCGGGTTCGATACCCAGTTGGTCTGCTTTTCCGTCGGAGTGTAGGCATTCCGGGCGTAAGGTTGGTGTAGTTGGTAGCGCTTTCGCGTGCCGTCCGGCGACTCTGCGTTCGATACCCAGTTGGTCCGCTTTTCTGTCGGAGTGGGCGCTCAAAAATAGGTGCAATCGAGACGAACTTGCAAGCAACGACAGACAGGCAACAAAATATTGACATCGGTTACTGAGGGATAGGCAGACCTTAGGTAGGAACGAAACAGGGGGAAACGAGCTGCAAGAAAACGAAACGGTATCACAATAAACAGGTGTAAGTCATGTTACTCATGAGTAGTCAGAAAACAAGGAAATTTACCCTTGTTCACCGTTGATTCACAGGGGGACTCAACACTCCCCGATCCATAGTTCTGCGCGTGGATTGAACCTGCAGACTGATCAGCTTCTCTGTCTCTATGATGACTGCCTTTCTGTATGGAGATCACCCAGTCGCATTCGTGCTGAAGACATTGGTGCCACGCCCTTGTTTGACTAACAGAGACCCGAAGAAGTCCACTGCGGTGAATGCGAATGGTTTACGACTGCAGTTGGTTGTTCTGGATGCGTCATTGGCAACCGGCACTTTGCCAATACTGGGTCATGATTGGCTGTTGCGTCCAGATTTTCGACCAATCAGATTCGCCTTGATGCCGGACCGGCAAGCGTCCCGAATTCTTGGCTAATGCCGTGCGGGCTAGGCTTCTCGGCCGTAGCAGCTCTTGAAGTCGTGCGGTATAGCGTGTAGTATACGGTGTCTGTCATTTTGATTGATTCATATGTAAGTATTGGTGATGTACAACCTTGCTTACTGGGCTTTGGCTCATGAGCTTTATTTCTGTTTTCCATCCACAGAGATTGTCGTGAACACCTGCCTTCGGAGAATCACTGTCCCATGGTGCTTCCATAGCGTGCATATTACAAGCGGGATCCGTGTGGAATCCTGCCTAACATTAGGACACCTTAGTCAGTCGGAGACATGCGTCTAGTCCGGGTTATAAGTGTACTGATACTGGTGGGCATGTTTTGCAACTTTGTGCCGATCGTCCGTTGTTCTTCAGTAGCCTTGAGTTTGAACGCATTTATCACGGCTCTGATACCTGGCTTCTCCTTGCTGGCGTGCGACCCTGGAGTTAAGTTGATTACAGTGATCAGAAAGTGGTAGCGTGTTTCGGTTCGTGATTCCCAATAATTCTGGAATGTCTTATTCGTCTGCGCATTATAAAATCTCGACGTCGACTCCACATTTAGTGGCATAGCCCAAACATAAGGTAAACGCACTGAAACTCACTATACAGCGCGTTATGCGCGGGCTGTTCGAAGGAAACCGGCTTTAACCGGAATAAAATGACCAGAACTACACGTGATACGGGATACCCGTGACCTTTCGGGGCACGCACGCGGAAAGCACTTTTTCTCAAAACGGGCACTGTCACCTTTCTAAACAGGAAGCTTTATTTTTTGGCTCAGAATATTATTCAGCTGAGGGATCAATTAGATGTCAACCCGAAAGTCTCATGTGTTTGGACACGTATTAGTGTCTCAAGATTACCAAAAAAGGACACCGACTATTTCATCACGTATGCAGATGAGATCAACAGAGTACAGCACCTCGAGCTCAGCGCCATGGCCGAGAAATAATTCGTGTTCCATCATCTTCACGTGTTTAATCGCTACATGATGAAGATATTTGAACCAGGCTACTGAGTCGAACTGAACAGGATCCAGAGTTGACATTTCACAAACTTACCACCGAATGCCAGCATCTTATCAATCGCAAGGCTGATGCTGCAATGACCGAACATTTCCAACTCTCTCACCCTGGCGTGGTATGTAAAGTAACTTCAAAAAGACAACTAGACTCCAAACGAACTCCAGGAAAACCGCCCTCACCCTGTTGGTTTTGTGATGGATGGTACCTTTTATCACACTTTCCCTGCCGGAACCACAGCAAATGTATTCAAGAATGCCAGAAGAACGTTTCAGAGACAACTTCAGCAGCTCTCACGAACATCGGCCTGATAAAATAACACGCTCAGGGTCGTGACTGCTACACAGAGTGAAATCACCCGGTCGACGAAAATTCGTCACAGCATGTACCAATGATACACTGGTTACCCTCCAACTTGGTACCGGTTCCGGCCTCACTCTGACCCAGGGACGAACCCGGAAAGTTACTGGAATGTGGCCAGTTGAACACACAAAGTTTACTTTTCCTAATGTGTCCGGTAGAAGCCTCAGGCTGATAGTGTCATTGAATGGTGCTTGCTGGCTCACCAACAGCGCGTGCCTCAATCTCTTAGGTTTGGATTGGATTGATGAGCTTCAACTCTTGGAGCAATCCCTCAATGCCGTTTGTAACAGATTAACCGCAGATGCCAGCAATACGTTCACAGCAGCACTACATTCTGACGATTTTGCGGTTGCCACAATTACGGTCAACCCGGAGACCAGTCAGATCATACGTGACACAGTGGCTATTCAACTCGTTGTGTCCAACACTGGTAGTCCTCTCACTTCAGTCCGTTTTGAAGAACCCTGCCAGCAGCCTGAAACGCTGTGCTCGTGGTCCCCATCCTTCACTCCACAGTCCCATGGGTATATAGAGCGTTCCACTGCTATCCGGAAAGTCAACAGGGACACAACAATCGCATGAAGTCCAGGTGTTGACTCGGAGCTATCTTTAGCGCTGTCTACGGTGGACTCCGGGTCGAATACTACGTTAGACACAGCACAAGTCAGGTCTCGTGCGAATTCACTTCAGGTAGAAGGCTTTCGCCCCGTAATAGAGCAACGTCGCATGGGATTGTGAACAACCACGGTCTATCTCTGAAGTGAGAGCAAGGCCAGAAATATAGCACCTAGAGCCCAGATAAGCATACTCACTGGCGAGATGGCTTAGTGATTATGGCGCGAATTTACTGACAGGAAGGTCCGTGTTTCGAACCCGACCTCCGCATCTCGACTTCTCCTGTCTAGGCTTGATCAACCTGACAGTATCCTAGCCCTCTTGTTTCATCATATTCATCAGAGCCAACAACACCTGTGTTGACACCGACGATTCACTGCCGTTCATCGCATCATATTTAAAGCCCTGTAATGAAAAGAAGCTAGGCACCGAAAGGATGCTTCAGCTGAGCGATTATTATTACTATCCTCACTGCCCCAGAGACGGACTGACATGCAACAGCAGCTCCCGGAGCCATCCGGTATTCTAGGGTTTCCTCGTTGGACTTTGCATGTTAGGTCACGTCTTGAGAAACCCGCGACAACTATCACCAAGGTGTGCACTTCTCGTTTTGCCAGGACTGTTAGGAAGAAGCGTTGTGGATGACAATCAACTGCGCACATAAACGACACAAGGAATATAATAACCCAGCTAATCTCATTTATCCATCAGACTGGGAAGGAAAGCGACTGTTTGGTGGGAGATTGTGGCGGATGTGGCGCAAGACCAGACCCTGTTTTTTCGTTCTCTTCTACTGCCCTGGACTTTCGTATTTCTGTTGCATCCCTGCTTCGCTACGACGGTAATGATATATGCGTACACACATATATGCACATACTGTTGGCTGGTTTCCATTTTCGGATTGAGTTATTCCATCGAACTACACCGGTGGACCTCCGCGCAATATATGTACGCCACAGGTGGTTTGTGCTTATCCACACGGGCATCCAGTTGGACGCATTTCATCCGGTGTAAACTCGGTGCGTAAAGGCGAAGGACAATTTTAAATTCATCAACGTGTCCAACTGGTGGCCCACAGTTGTTAACCCCACCGCGCGTAAAAGATCACCTGGTGACCCACATTACTCTGGAGGCGCATCCCGGGCAAGCATATATTGGCTAGCTAGTGACGGGCGATTTTCACCTTGGTCTGTACAACAATAGTCACAGGAGTCACCTCTATCATCACTGAAATCACCGAAATACCCAGGGAAATAAGGTGGGGATATGCACAAATGTAAATTACTGCATACAGCAAACCTCAAAGCACGATAAGTACCTGTCTGTTCGCTAAGGTCGGTGAAGAATCCTCAGCTGGAGTTTCGATCGGCGCAACAGCCCCATCCCTTTTTCCGTCCTCGCTGGGTGTCAGCACAAAATGCGTTGAGGTTCGATGCTTGCGGTATTAGGTTGCTGTTGTCACAGCTTCAGTTGATGATACTATCGCACTGCCAAAAATGGAGGCCTGTATTTATTTAGAACGACCTTTTCACTGCCACCAGTCAGGTATTAGTTGTACACTGTACTCTTGATCTGGCCTTCACTTGCTTCAATCTATGATCGCTGTCTACTGGACACCTTGTAGCTTTTATACTAACCGTATCTCTTCGTATTTCTAGCTCCATCCTTTATACCGAATGAAACGTAAGGTTGTATTCAGCGAGTCGGATTCTGGTATGTCTGTTAATTTTACCGTGTTACAGTTACTCACTGATACCTCCAGAATCCGAATTCGAGCTCCCTCGTGAAAAGAAAGCTGCAAAGAAGTCACCAAAACGAAGTAAATTGAAGCATTCTGGCTCGCGTTCGCCGTCTACTTTTGGTAATTATACTCTTTCAGTCTCCGTTCAAAAGTCTCATTATTAAATTAAGACGATGAATCAACCAGTGGTCGAGGAAAGGTTCAGCTCAGCTTGGTCGAAGCAATGCGTCAAGCTGCCTGCAACAAGGAAAATCTGCAGAAAGCTAAAAAGACTACCAACACATTGGAACAGTACTTCGTCAAAAAAGACACAAAGACTCCCGTGACACCCAAGCGCACCGAAATATCCGTGGATGCTTTCTTTTCCAGTTCAACAAAGAAACATAAACAAGTGAGGGCTAGTGTCGAATCTTTTATAGGCTCAGCCTTGTCTGTAATAGTTTACTCTAGCATCGGGTGGGTGTCTGCCACCTGAACACAAATCTTTCTTCCGCATCCCTTGATTTGTTTGCTTTGTTTGTTTCTCACCATTCGAGGTGGCATCGTCAGTTCACAGTTGGGTGAGGCCCACTTAGCAATTGTACAAGCCGGGGCGGAAAAGCAAACAGAAGTTGGACGGTATTGGCTAATCGTCATTGGACTCATCACCATCATCGACAGCATGACATTGGTGTTCAACACTGATGCATGCTTGCCGTTCGTAGACCTCTAGGTTCAAGTCACCAATGCGCTAATGTGACGATACTAATGCCATATCATGTACACCGAGTAACACGACCAACTTCCAAACGTGTGAGTTGGTAATTACTAGGATGGTGCGAACGTACTGACCGGAAGATCTGTGATTCGAACCCATCTCTAACTTTTTGATTGCTCCTGTTTCGGCCTGAGCAACCTGGAATTATCTCAGCCTTCACGCACGGCCTTCGGTTGCATGGCAACTATGAACCGAGAGAGTACCACAGCTGAGTGGTTTTCCTCTTTTCCGGCCACTAAGTGTAAAATCGGTGGGTTTTACCAATGTCATCCTCTGACTACTGTTTATGGGTCATTTAGCTGTTGGCTGGAGGCGCCCTGTGTTGTGTGGACCTCAATCCTGGGAGAGTTTAACTAGTGTTTTGGGGTATTCGTTTGGGACATCCGAATCACCAATACTATCTTAACTACTTTAAATTATCAGTAGTAGTCGTTTCTGTGCTCAACAATTATTTTTGAGTGTTGCGCAACCGTAATCCGCTGCAGTAAATGACGAGGTTGTTCTTCTCTTGAGAGATGAAGAAAGAAAGCGTTCAGCTGTAGCACCCTTCCGGTGCCTAGCTGCCATGCCACCCGAAGGAAGCACGAGGGCTGGGATACTGCCAGGTTGCCCAGGCCTAGACAGGGTGAGAGATGAGGTGATCGACCGAAACTACTCTCTTGTGACGGGAGCCAACGGGAAACATGAAAAGCATTATTTTTGGGAAAAAACTGATTTCGTTATTGTCAGTGGTATGTCATTCTCATTGGATAGCTTGTAGCGCCCATTGTACGTTTACTAGAAGTTGCAAATTGTACTTTTATACAGTTTTTCCTCTCACTGAAGTGCGCCCGTCAGTGAGATTTCAGTGTTGTTGATTCACCAGTTTCATGTGATTCGTCTCCATCGTCCTGGACCCCTAGTGGAAATCACTCTTTGTGCCTAGAGGAATCAACTACTTGGATGAAACTTTTCCTGAGCAATTGCTGCTGAACATTACAGGTTGGTGATTTGGCCAAACCCCGAAAATCTCTGCTACTAGAGGTCCTTCTTCTGTTGATGGGATCGTTCTCATGGTCGAGTTACTTGGGATCCATGGACAATTTTTTCATTAAAGTTCAGTTAAATTCAAAGCTCTTTTTTCGATTGAATCGATGAATAGTTAGGAGAGCTATTTGGCCATGAGCAATCATCTTCTGGCTAGGATAAACCAAAGCCTATACTCGGCTTCCGACCTCGCAATATTTCGGGCTCTTTCGCTGACCAGTCAGGGATTGGTTTCAGTAGAATTTAATCATGAAGTGGAGTTCCGCATATGTGAAGAAATAAATTAGCCTTCAAGGCCATATTGTCTCTTCTATCTTGAAATCGTCGTATATATTCCAGCGTGTGGAACTAGCGTACCGATTATTGGCAGCTTGAGATAGCTCAGTGGTTAGGGTGCCAGCCTACTGACCGCAAGGTCTGTAGTTCGGACCCGACCCCAGCATCTCGTCTGCTCCTGTCTAGACTTGGGTGACCCGACAGTATCTGAGCCCTCATGCCTCCTTCAGGTCGAATGGCAGCTAGGCACCGACAGGGTGCAACAGCTGAACTATTTAAGGCTGATTACTGACACACCTTATCTATTCTGTAGTACAAAATACTTACGTACGATCCATTACTCGCTGAACGTGATGTATGCTTCATGAGGTTCAGTGGTCCTACGACTCCGTTACCATGGAATTCATTTATCCGAAATCGAAATCGTTCATCGGCGCCTAGCTGCTATGCCACCCGAAAGAAGCACGAGGTCTGGGATACTGCCTGGTCGCCCGAGCCTAGACAGGGGAAGTCGAGATGCACAGGTTGAGTTTGAACTACGGATCTTCCGGCCAGTAAATCCGCGCCCTAACCCTCTCCATTCATTCGGGTCAACTACATAAACCTCAACGTGAGAATGGGTTTTTACTCCATCAGTGTCAAGCGCAGTAGGCTTCCCAGTAGTCTTAGATGGCATAGGCGGGGCAACGTACTCCTTATTACCAGTGGATGGTCATGTCAATGTTTCGCTAACGTACCTCATCCGTGACCGCTTTTTGGACCAGTTGACCGCGACACTACGGATAACAGTTATTTGATTTGCAATCGCCTTGGGTGGCAAGATGGTCCAAGTGGTTAAAGCGCGAATTTACTGACCGGAAGGTTCGTGGTTCGAACCTGACTTCTGCCTCTCGACTTCCCCTGTCCTAGGCTTGGGCAGCCTGGCAGTATCCAAGCCCTCGTGCTTATTTCGGGTGGCATGACAGTAAGGCACCGGAAGGGTGCTACAGCTGAACGAATCGCTTTGGATGGTCTTTAGAACTTGTAGCGAACGAGGTTCCGGAACCGACTGACCGTCACAAGCCACACCAAAGTTTTTCTCTTTTAAGGTGAATTTGTACCGAAATTGGCTTCAACTTGATTGGACTGATGGCTGATTTCTTCAGCATCATAAAACTCCACGTAAGTTTCAAGAACCTGTCAGAAAAATTGGCTTCAAAAACTTGATCGAACTGATGGCTGATTTCTTCAGTATCATAAAGCTCCACGTAAGTTTCAAGAACCTGTCAGAAATGGCCTTTCCTGGACGGATGTTCTCTTTTTAGGCTAGTGTTTCCAAAAGTGGACAAATATACGAAGAAGGGACCAAGTGCTATCCCACCATAGGCATTTTGGGGCCCTCGCGAATCCCGATGGTTCCTAGCGTAAGCCAGCCAAGCACATTTGAACATGTGGTTGCAAACCATTGTTGTCCAAATTCAGTTTTTCCCTCATAGTGATGCTGATGATCGTCCTTAGTTTGATAGTGTTTATCGTTGAACTTATCATTTTCTACCACTGTATTGTGGTGCTTTTTAAGTCACGTTAACTGGGAGGCACCATTGCTTAATCCATTTTTACTGTATCAGGAACCTAAAAAGTCTCCAACTACCTCGGAGCCAAAGAAGTCCCCAAAAACACCGCCGCACACTAGTCCTTCAATCGTTCCGGACACGCCTATCGTATCTCCGGGGAATCTGATACCTGATACACCAACCCTGAAGAGCGAAGAGAAGCTGCGTCAAAGAGTCAAGCATTCGCGGTCATCTAATACCCCAACCAAGGCTACTGATGTTTCCATAACTAGTCCATCATCGGTGAGTTTTACTTGCATACCCCTTTAGTGCACAAATGAGTCGGGCCACATCAAGATCCGCTTAACCGAACCTGTTTGAACAGGGTCGCCAGGTACGCGTTCCTACGTCACAGATAAACATTGTTAGCGAGTTGTCAGTTAACAGTTTGTCTGTTTATTACCTTATAGGAGGAAGTATTTTGTCTCGGAGCGATGGTGTCGGTAACTTCAGTTAATCAGAATCCAGACAAAAGGGTAGCTGAACTTTTGTCGTTTTAGGTCGGTCAGCAAGGATCTTTCTGGCACTGCGTGTTTTAATATCAGTGATGCACAGGCAGCTGAACCTGTGGCTACAATAATTCGTATAACGATTTGTCGTCTTCAAGTGGTGCACTGTCCGCAAGTTGATACTGGTAGTTCAGAAAAAATATGCTGAAAGACGTGACGGCACTTGATGTGCCTCTCTCTAAGGTTAACGGAGTGCCTACACTTTTCGCTTTTGGAGGTCGGCTTATTCTGAGGTAAGCATTGCACTGATTTTACTAGTTTTTCGGAATCACAGTACGCCTTGTCTAGGCACTGTAACACACTACTCAAGGTTGTTGAACAGTCTACAACAACTTCAGTAGACCTGTTTAGACTCTCTGAAACATGATCACATACTGTTAAATCCCTTGCTAGTCAGTTCATTCGCGTCGTGGATCAAATAGATTACTTTCACTACATTGTCTCCCCCTGTATTCTAAATTAGACAGCTTACCGTCGCCTCTAATATATGTCTATTGTTCATTTAATCATCGTATCTTCGGTTGACAAAACTGTAGCGCGTTTGACCACCACGCTTTGATTTAAACGGGCTGTGGCCCCCAAAAAAGTGACTGGCTCTCTGACCAGATGCTTAACAGAGTTCACTCAACTTAGGTGTGCTCTGATGCCCAGAAGACCGAGTCGTTCGTTCGTGTATGCAGTGTAGAATTTCGGCTCTTTAAAATAGATTTCCAATTTAGCCGGCAAAGCGAATTGCCCGGTTGGCATATTCTTTGGATCGTCCTAAGGATGACGTTGCTATCGATCACCTAGAAATGAGGATATACTTTCTGTGAGCAACTAAGTGAGCTCGACGTAGCTCAGTGTCAATGCGGGAGCAACCCCAGCCTCTCAACTGCTCCTGCTCTCGTGCTTCTTTTTGGCATCACGGCACCAAAAGTCTGTTACGGGAGAATTTGGTCAACGATCAAGCCTCGAGCTACTGATGGTGAAGAACATGGTTGGAACCCAACGATGACTTTCAAGTTTTTCCTGTCTGGAACTGAGCTCCTCCACAGCATCTCTACCGTCGTGCCTTTTTCGACTCGCCTGTCAGCTATAGCTTAGTTTGTTATGACCTCGGGATCGTGCACAAATGTGAATTTTAAGCATATATATATATATATACTTGCTAAATGGTAGCTCCGTCTTCCCGTTGCAGACCCTACAAACCTCATTTGACGGCGTTTCAGATGAACCCAAACCAAACACTCCCGCTAGTCGCCGACCGTTTTGGTCTTACAGTGCCAGAGAAGGGCCGAGAGCACTTGGATCGAAACCGATTCCCAAAGTAAGTCTTAGTCTCTGTTTATTTTCCGGTCTCTTGTGTTCCTTACTTGACCTATAAATGTCGCTTAATTCGGCTGACTGGGTGGATCTTTTCCAGATAAGCCCCGCCACTAATGCAAAAAGTGCGTGTGCCAGCGTTCGCCAGCTCCAATTTAATGTACGCACACAACCTTGACCTATTTTTGATGAAAACAATTCCTTATCCGCATCTGGGCTCATTTTGTGCAAAAATTTTCTCCGTTCGGACGTAAAACCTTAAATGAACTATCTGACGCTTTCAAATCTCGTTCATACCAAGGAGACGGCAATACGTTTTTCTGCAAAGCCACGGAGTGATCCATCAGCAACGTTTATGCAACAATGGCCACCAAATGACAATTTAAACTGTTTCTGACAGGTAGAGGTGTAATGCCCGACAATGTCGGCGAGAAATCGGTCTTCAAAAGGTAACTTGGCTGGAGCGGTTTGGGATGGTGTTTAGGACAGTAATTCTATTCATTTACTGCTGGTCCGAAAATTTGGCGAAAATCAAATTCTGCTCGGAGGTTTTATCTATTTTCGGAGGGAGCTGCCGGGAAACTAAAGAGGTGTTCATGTATGCAGTGCCGGATCGAACTGCGGCCACTTTGATAGACACAATCCAGGCCTGCATTGCTAAATCATCTCCGATATGTGGGCATCATGTCAAGGAATTGAAGCGACGATTGACATGAATTAAACTCATGAAACGGTTAATCATACTGAAAACTTTGCGGATCCAACGCAAGCCATCGAATCTCTTTGGCACGTCTACAAGATGCAGAATGAACGCCAATGCGGCACACACCGATCTTTATTGGATAACTACTTGTGTGAGTTCGTTTGGAGGTAAAGGTACCGGAAAACGGACCGTTTCATGCTAATTATTAATGACATGTCCCAATTTCACCCTCTTCAATAAAAACTAAAAGTACGAATTTCATATCCTCTTTTTTCTAATATTTTTGGGGTGGTGGGGCTTATCTGGGTTGGCAAATTCGAGCAGTATAAATTGTTGGTCACACATCATGTCGCCCTATAACTTCTCCGGATGAGTAATCCATCAATGAGCACTTCCTGAAATGACCACTTTGTTTCTACACTACGAACTTAGCGATTGAGCACTCCCACTGCGCTCGCCGTGAACAAAGTTCTGGAAGTTCCAAGCACTCTGAACCCACTGCGCTTTAAAAATGATGACTTCTTCCCCAAGATCCGGAAGCGTCAAAACTGTTTAGTACGTCCGATGATACTGGTCGAACTACCACAGGACGGGATTTTCTGACGTCAGTTTTTGCTTAAATGGTTATCTGGAGCTCACTAATTAGCTTCAAATTTGAACCACAAAGGGGTATGACTGCATGACTTTTTTTAAATCTGAGCCAATCACGGGAGACGGCCGTGTGGGGGTGCTGTCGGTGCTACTCGCCTTCCAGGATGGGGACCGCGTGATCCTCACTGTGCCTGATTGGAGACACTACAAGATATGGCTGCCAACCGATGTCAGTGGCGTTCCTGTTGTCAGTTTCTATCCAGATTGCCTGAGTGAATGTCTGGAGGTGTAGGCACCTCGGAATGATTGTGTTAAGCTAGCACTAAGTCCCCCCCCATCCACCTTTATTCTTTTCTATACAATAAGGCTTTCAAATAAGTCATGGTTGTACGGCAGTGAAGCATTGGTGTTGAACACTGATGTCATGTTGTCGTTGATGATGATGATGATGATGTGTGAGGGTTCAATAGTGTTTTTTTCAGTTGTTCTCGCCATCGATGCTTCGGACACATAAACCGATCGGTTAATGGATGCTCATTTGTTGGACTATGAATACATTTGTTCCCGGACCAAGTGTACACACCCGCGTACCACGAGGAAACGGGCTGGTATCTTTTAAAAGTAGGATGTAGATCGTTCAGCCTAGTCGATGAGCAGAAGACACTGCTCAGTTAGGGAGAATCTGGAGAATGGATCATCGAATCTAAGAGAATCTAACAGAATTTGCTTCCCAACACTCGTCTGAACACATCTGGAACGACCCATCAAGAGGGACAAATTACTAGACTCGAGTTTCGCTCTTATAGGAGCTCATGAACACTCTTCGTCTTTTGCCATGGGGCGAGGTGGACCAAGTGATTAGAGCGCGAATTTGCTGACCCGAATGTCTGTGGTTCGAACCCGATCTCTGCCTCCCGACTTCCCCTGTCTAGACTTGGGGGACCTGGCAGGATCCCAGACCTCATGTCTCCTTCGTGTGGCATGACAGCTACGCACCGAAAGGGTACTACAGCTGAACGATTTACTTTTTTATCTTTCGCCATGCCCTGATTTGAACATATGAACTGCGAAGTGGACGTTTCACAACTACTCCAGCAGCTCACCCTGCCTGAGTTACCATATCTGACCAGGTGAACGTGTTCTTGCGTGAGTGATGTTTAGCCGAACGGATTTGGTTGAAATGCTGAATGGTAGATAAGTCCGGGTTTTAGTTCAGGTGTGTCCGTAAAACGCGTATAGTCCCTTCCTTAAGCTGCACTCGATTCAAATTTACTTCCAGTTGAAATAAAAACAACCTCACAGACGGTCCATTATTTGAGTCAAAATTTCTTTGAGTAACGACTGATTGGTCAACCATAAAAAGCGGTATGGTACATTTGTGCGGTTGTGGCTAGCCGCGTGCGTTCGGCGGCTTTGATTTATTCCGGATGTTTTGCGGAGCACTAACCAAACTACTCAGTCGGATGTAAGCGATGCAGTTGAAATAAGGCCACTGTAGTGCGACCAGCGAAAGCCACCTCTGTCGATTTTTCGAAGCAGCTGATAATAAAAAAATCGCTCGCCCTTTCGGTTCCTAACTTCCATGCCACCGGGAGGAAGCATGAGGGCTTGGATACTGCCAGGTTGCCCAAGCCTAGACAGGGAAAGTCGAGAGGCAGTGGTCGGGTTCGAGCCACGGACCTTCTGGTCAGTAAATTTGTGCCCTAACCACAGCCATCCCTGCTGATACTCAGCCTTCATGGAGATTTATCCTACTTCCAGTGGTTTTTTATCATGGAATCGATGCGCGTCAACGCAAGAATGAACCATTTTTTGAAAACGATCACTGTAACCGAATCCCGATTGGTCTTTCTTACAGCCCGAGTTCGAAACTTCACTCTCATTCCCATAATCACGTAGGCTTTGTGTTGAATAATAGGTGTTGGTGGTTACGGGATTTCGTAGAATATATACTCACATGACTCGTTTGAACAATCGTCCTCCTGTCCTAATGAGCCCACAGCAGTGCACTGATGATGAGCTCTTATAAGAGCAAAACTCGAATCCAGTGCTTCTTTATCCTTTGGTGTGGACTCACCAGAATGGCTGCGCCAGGATAGGAGGACGATTGTTCAATCGAGAATCATGTGAGTAGTGTTCTACAAAATCCTGAAACCGCTAACACGTGAAACAAAAATGTGTCCAGCAGGTTTCTAGCGTCTGTGGCGCTACCTGACTGGGAAGTCCTGACTGGCGGGCCAGTCGATCGACACAACCAAGGTATGTTACTTGTCCGTCGTTCAAGGCGTCGGGTGTTCCGCTCATATTACAGTATGTTGTAGTCTGTTGTTGGAGTATAACTAAGCAAGCAAGATGATGATAAGGCAACTCAAAAGAAGGTTATTCAGCTAAGGAATAAGAACAGATCGTGGGAAGGATCTCAGTTGAATTTAACCAAATAAGTAAGATTTCGTGAACATGTCGGCAGTATACCATCGTGGGCGACCCACTCCGTGGACCCTCCTTCCCCAAATGGATCGGTCTCTTGGGTTGCTCGGAGGACCACTGATTCTGCTGCAGAAGAGACGCGAATTTGTAAAATGCGAACAAAAGATTAAATGCATTCAGACAGTACTTGAACCAGCAACATCCCGCCTATCCTGGGCCTGTTCTACCCGCTGGGCTACCGTGAAGGCCGCTCCACTTCGCACGACTGCGTCTGAGTTCCACATTTAGTCGCCACATCTTGGATTTAACAGTGCTGTTCGTGGTCCCCGTGTGTGTGCTGACAGTTATCAAATTATAAATTCACCAAGCAGAGTTGTGTCGAATCAATATGGAACCCGTTTGCGTGTGTGCAACGCGGTTCGGCAGCCGCTGCACCTCATTTGGTAGGGCATTCATATGGTACTGAACTGCAGTGACATCGGTGGGCGCTGAACTGCGCTGGCAAATGATATCTCCCGGTTGCCCAGGCCGAGAAAGGGGGTTTGGTTGAGGTACCCCACCTTGAGCCTTTGACCCAAAAGTCTGACCCACAAGGCAGTGGGATAACTTAGGGTTTTGTTCGGGGAGCCCGATCCTAGCCTCTGACTCAAAAGTCTGACCCACGAGGCAGTGGGAGGACGTAGGGTTTTGTTCGGGAACCCTGAACATAGCCTCTGACTCAAAAGTCTAACCCACGACGCAGTGGGAGAATGTAGGGCTTTCTTTGGGGACCCTGCCCGGAGCCGATGACTCAATAGTCTGACCTGCTCGGCTGCAGGGGGTTGGCCTAACCCGAGGGCGCAGGGAATAAGGCATTACTGTCTCATTCCTGATGCGGCTGCGCACAGCAGGTGCCTTTTGAGCAGCACCGGGCTCTTTGGTTTTAAAAGTATTTCGACCGTATTGGATAATGCGCCGGCGGTCACGGTCAACCGTTGGGCGATCGGAGTGTGCGGTTTTTGGGGCCGACCTTTTCTAACCCGTCCTTCCTCGGGGGAAGGCAGCATCGCTGCTTCCATAAATATGGACATGCTGGTCGCCTGGTGGAAACACCTTACTGCCTTCACACTCCTGTCGCAGAGGACAGTACGACGTTACCCCCAGACCGCCTCGTATCACGATTACTCGTAGTACGGGGTCTCGCTGCTCCCTTTGGCCTTCCTGGCATGGTTGCACCTTGTGGAACGAAGTTCCAGCCAGCGTAGCCCGCGGGGTCATTGCAGCACCCAAGCCCGACCACCACGTCAAGGTGGCAGCTTTAGGTCGGGATGGTAAGCAAAAGGTTGTGAGCTCAATTCCTGTCCAAGAGCACGTCTTTTCGCATTACAGGTTCCCGTTCAGAACCACTGGGTTTTTCACGAATCCAACGTCTAGAACAACAATCTCAGTTTATGTCGCTCCGCTGGAATTGATTGAATTCCACTCAGCGACACCACTGTGAAAGTGCTCATGTATATCCATGTGCATTCAGACAAACAAAGTGCAGTAGTTTCACCCGGATATTTCTTGTTATTCCTGATGAAACTCAGTGTTATCGCCGACTGGCAATGTAATCTGGACTCGTTTGTTCATTCATGTTTGGATTTGACTAAACTTCGACTAGTGGCTGTTTCCTTTCACCCTGACCCCATCTGCAGGGTAATCCAACTTGTCTGTGCGGAAAGACCTTCGTCATCACCGGTATTTTGGAGAGTATAGAACGCGACGATGCCCGGGCACTCATCGAGCGCTGTGGAGGAAAGGTGCTCAAAACGCTTGGTAAACGAACCAACTACCTGGTTGTTGGGCGTGAACCAGGGGAAGGCAAACTGGCCAAGGTAAATTTTACTCCTTGATTGACTGGTATTTGTTGATGTTGTAGGTGATTATGGGTGTAGTGGAATTTGTGTTCACATCACTCTTGTGTGAACAGTCCTCTTCGTGTCCAGGTGCAATCATTCTAGTGAGCCCATACCAAATTTGGAGAAGTCACTGGATGCGAGTTTCGTTCTCATTAGACCTCCTCGGCCGTATTCGAACTTCGGGCCTTTGTTACGGCTACTCCATCAACGCACGCTGGACGCACCTGAATGCTCACATCTAAACGGGCGATTGTGTTTACTGTTTAGCGCCGGATTGTTCAAACGAGTGATGTGAACGGGAAAGGTATTGATGTCTTTTAATCTATTCGGTGAAAAGGGTGAGAAGCTGAGGAAGTCGGAGAGCTGGGGTCAGATATTACTTAACTTTTCTCTATTTGGTATGTAATGCATTCCGATGCATGAATGTGACGCCATCAACTTTCTCTCATTGTTACCCCTTGAGCTAAGATACAACGTTGGCGAAACACACTCGGAGACTACGCCCACCTGATGAGTCCTAATAGGGGTGACAACGATTGTGGAGGTTTTTCAGAAACTTTGTGAGTAGTGTATTCCGTGAAGATAACACAGAACGTTGCTATTCAGGGGATGGCTTAGGGCCATCATTTTGTTCGTTGGGCTGAGCGGACATAACAACAGCTAGCACGCAACTGCTTCGGCAGCGCCAACCTAGCTACGGATACACAAACCCCACTGTTTCTCCATATCGTTCTTCTACGCGCTACCCAAGTGAACGCGTTTCTTGTATTGTGTCTGCAATCTGAGCTTTTCGGATCTAGCAGCTGACTCATGAGTTGGCCGTATCAGGCTTACTTTGTGTATCGTAGCCAACTGTCTGCCCCGCATAGCTACTTTTGTTTCACTAGGTGCTCGGCGAAGGTGGCCAGTTCATGTTTTGCAGCGATGAGGGGACGGCATGATCACCGAATCACCAGACTATTGTGATGACTGTCCTTTGTTGGATTATGATTTTGTCTTTTAATTCCTTGTGTAATGTAGGTCGATTGCCTCAGCTAGGCACCCGTCCTCGGCGACCATGATTCTTTAGCATCATTATGATCGGTCTATCAGCCGTATTTCCCTTCTTTTTCCGACTCCTTAGGCCGAAACTCTCAATCTCAAACAAGTGGATGAGGATCAGCTGTTTCGTCTTATCCGAGAACTGGCCAATGAGCCGGAACCCAATGGTGCCGCTGACGATTCCGAGGCTCACAGTCCACAGGTAGAAAAGCCCACCTCCCCTACCAAACGCCCGGCCAAGCAGTCCCCAGACAAGTTATCCCCCAAAGTAACGCCAGTGAAAAAGTCACGTGTGAAGTCGACAGAAAGTCCTACTGTGCTTACAGCAAAGCCGCTGTTCCTAGGCAGCCAGTCCAGTTCAGATGCGCAGCTAACAACGACTGCTCTTCAGTTGACTCGTAGTTGCCCCCTACCGGCACCAAGACCTCCGAGCAGTGAACTGTGGGTAGATAAGTATAAACCCACTTCCCTTCGCACCCTGATCGGTCAGACAGGAGCCAGTTCTCCAGGCAATCGCTTGTATGCTTGGTTGTCATCTTGGCATCAACACTTTGCCGCGGGTACAGTTTCACTTCTGGTTCATTCGGTTTGTCGTATACTTGAATGCTCCGTATTCTTAGTAACAGAAACAGATATATTTGAAATCACAACCTGTTTTCACCCCAATCCCGGGTTTTTCCCTGGTTATAAGTCATCATTTCTCTCTCTCTGTCTTTGAGTTCTTGACATTTTTGTATGCACAAATTACTTTCAGGTACAAAGGCTCACGCTTACTCTTCAGCGCCTCCGTGGGCCGCTAGTTCGGATGACGGGAAGTGGGCCCGAGCCGCGCTCCTTTCTGGGCCACCAGGAATAGGAAAAACCAGTTCGGCAACAATTGTTTGTGCTGAACTGGGATTTTCTACCTGTGAATTGAACGCTTCTGACTGTCGTTCGAAAACCAGTCTCTCCGAAGTGGTCAGTCAGAGTTTGGGTATGCAGAACTTGGCGCAGATGGCCTACGGTGAAGGTGAGTCACGGAATAACGTGAAGAATGTTTGCCTCAGTTTGACTCTCTTCGAGGCATCCGTACGTCTGAAAGTGATAGTTTTTCCCCTTTAAAGCTTCGAACCGGAATGCATACAATACTTGCCGTCGAAGGCGACAGTCTAACTCACACTCTCTGCAAACACGCTCTCTCTTGAGATGCACCAGCCTAAAAAACTAGATTAGAGTTTTATGGACACTTTGAAAGCATCCTTCCTGGGGGTTTCTATCGGTACAGCCCACTCAGGCGAACTTTACTAGCAGTTGGCACTGAACTAGCCGAATTTATCATTGATTCCTGCTTTCTCAGTTTTCAGTAAAGCCCTTTTGGTACATGGACGATGTCCACATCTGGTCCATTGTTAAATTTTTACGCGAGTTGGTCACTGCCCACACTAAGAGTCTCGAGTGTGGCGAATCAACTACGAAGTTCAACTACTACTACCGCTACTAGCTGAAGCAATGATCTCGGTATCTCAGCTAGTAAAGCATTCGCCCGGCAATCGGGAGGCGTCTTTTCGTACGACCTCCAAGAACCGGCCGCTTTAGAGGGCCGGTCACATTGTGGAGGGACAAATAACGTTGCACAGCCACACAGTCGTGTCAGAGATCGAGTTGTTGGGCAGATGGAGGAATGTACTTGGGCTTCTCATCTCGAACTGAAGTCTTCTTCGTCGATACTGTTTGTCAACAGAATTTGGATGACAAACGCGTGCATTAGATCGTGTGTTCGCTACCAGTATGAACTAGACACCCCCGCCCCTTAAAAAGACACTTGCTTATATGGAGATCGATCTAACTGTCCCAAGTGAATGGCATTTAGCTGGAGGCCACCATAATCAGTGGCCAAGCCAACCGGTTGTCGTGCATTGTCTGAACGAGTATGTTGGCGTACTGGTTGATAGTCTATCGGTAAGAGTTTGGCTGCTTCCGCCTTTGGCCATATTTACCCGTTGCTAATTAGTGGCACAAAATACATCTGAAACCGTACTGAAAACTAATGGCCCCCTGGAAGGCAGGTGTAAAAAATCTTGCTAAAATAGACGTTCAAAGGTGTTCCCATGTCTGACATGGCAAATTTCGAGAGTTATCTGATCACCTCGTAGTTCCGAATGAAATATTGTCCCTGTTTAAAAACGTTCGGTCTCTGCAGAGACGGGTGACCCTTCTCAAACGGGTCTAATCCAGTGTTGTGACTTGTTGAACGGTAGTGCAACTCTGTATCGGNCACTATGGTGATCAAAAAGGTACGGAGCTTCACACAGCCCTTTATGTAGACAAAGGAAGATTACAACAACTGTATTTATAGGGTAATCACAGAATGTTCCACAAGGTCGTGCTAGAATCTCCGTGAGAAGTGTCGAACTAAAGATAATCGATCCAGATTAACTGGCATTCCAACCCATCAGGGCTTCGTTTGGTCCGCACGTGACATATCCGTCCAATTGACGTGCTGTTCGGTTATTAGGGGCGGCTGGTCTCCGGACATCCAGATACCTCAAATCGTAGGTATGTGCGTCTTAGACGTCCCCTGAAAACATGTCTTTATGTGGTGGGGATGTTATCCTGCAACCTCCCCTGAAGTAAACTTCACAGAATACCGTTGATCACTGAGCATTGCACGTAGTGAGTTTACTTTCCGCACTTTCTAATCTCCATGATATGGATTTTACAGTTGTGTTATTTTCCTAACCACCTACCAGTGTAACGGTGATACTGCTGCTGGGGGGCGTGCGAGTAGTATGTTTTCTCGTAAATCCGCTTTGCGTCTCTTGAAAAGTGAGATCTATTACGGAATTTGTGGAGTCGTTATGTAGCATTTACTTGCATTTGAGTAGCAGTCAATGAATATTCAGGAAGGTTCAGGAGGGCGCGTTCAAGGAGAAGATGGATATTCAGTTTTGTAAACAAGATGCATATGAGGGCTTTTCTACCCTGTCCAATAGTGTGTAACTGTTCAGTTGGCATTTTCTAATAAATAGCTCCGCAGCGAAGGCCTTCTTTCTTTCACCCGTATTACCGATCTTATGCGAATACTCACTATAGTAGCTGACAAGAGCGCGAGATAGCTGTAAGGCGCGAAATTACCGCCTGGAAGGTTCGTGTTTCGAACCCAACCTCAGTATCTTGAGTGCCCCAGACTTAGGCAACCTGGTGGTATCTCAGCCTTTGTGATTTTTCGGGTTGCATGTGAGTTATTCACTGTTAAAGGTTGTTACAGCTGAACATGTTACAGTTGATGATAATCAGACGGGACCTAGGACCCCTGGTAAAATGTTACTTCTAAGCTTCCTTCATAGAGCTGTCCTTCCATGTGATTACTCACTTAGGGTCCTTACAGGTCTAAGTTACAGATGTTTGTCTCTCAGGTTCAGACAAATTTGACGTGAACTATCAGTCATTTTACACAATGCATTCAGTAGACTTGGTTATTCATAAGCTCCTCTAAGCATCTCGAAGGTAAATAGTGCGATGTTGCTGATCATATGCTTTCGGATCTCCGAAACCGACGTGTAACTTCACCAGAACGACACTCACTATTCAGCTATTGATCGGCTTTTAACTGATATACTGTCTGCTTCTCCTTACTGGCCGTGTCTCGTAGACGTCTACACACCTTGTTTAACTCTTTTTCTCCGAGACCATCCGTTTAGAAATGTGATCGAAAGTTCTGTCGTGTTCTTTTTTCTAAATCTTCATCCATCACGCTCATCCTCACACACTGGTTTTGGCTTGATGTTATCCCCTGTTTGAAGCTTCACAGCTCAGCACCAAGCGACATGTTCTGCTCATGGATGAAGTGGACGGCATGGCTGGAAATGAGGATCGTGGTGGAATGCAGGAGCTTATCAATATGATCAAGTCTACACGAATCCCCATCATATGTATGTGTAACGATCGTCAGTCCCCAAAAGTACGTTCCATTTTCACTCATTTGCAAACAAATTTGGTTTTGTGAGAGACCAACCTGGAACCCAGATGAATCTCTAAGCAACTGAATGTGCTGCACCAGGCCGCCTCATGTTCTAGTTGCTACGATATTCGAGATATCGCGATACATGTATAGACGTCGTCCACTGGTTGCTGGAAATTCTCCGACAGCCCACGACCGGCTCCGCCCTTCCTGGGGGCGCTTCCGTCAACCCTATGTTCTACTTCAACCGAAATTCCACGGAAATGGCGAAATACTGTCATTTGCATACCAAATTGGTTTTGGAGTGAGAATCACCTGGATCCCAGCTGAATGTTGGTTTTTGATGTGTTCGGAACACAACACAAAATACTCCGCTTTTGAGAAAGCGAGAAACACCTCAGTTCGGCGGGTTCACTTTGAGCATATTTCTGCAATGCGGAGAGCGTAGATGACGCGGATATTCAGTCCGTTGTACCAGGCACAAACTACGCCAGGCGAGTCCCGCTTGTCCCATTTCTTAGTTCCCAGTATTAAGGAGTAGGTTGATTTTTTGTCACTCAAACGAAACTTCTCATCTCCATAAAATCACATGTACACTTTCGGGAAAATTCACTTCTTCGACTTTACTCATCGCTTAATCGACATCTCTCCATCAAGACTGCACGTACCGGTGACGTCGTTGCATCTCAAACGAACACTTCTCGACCAAATTCAGCTTATTTTGCATGATAAAAGTCAACATCACAATCGATTGCACTTAGAGCTGAGATGATGGTGAGGGAACAATCATCAGCACCATGCTTCCGTTTCTTCTCATTTCCACAGTCACTTTACGCCCATCCGAGACTGCGCTTACGTCTATCACAGTTGATCGGCGCTCCCGGACAGTGATTAGGTCAGGTTTGATGAAAGACTTCGACATAGGTGCTCTCAACTCTTTGAAGATGATGTATCCCAGGAGATGGAGACATTTCGCGCGTTACCTTGCAACCTGCTTATGACGAGCACAGCAGGACTGCAGAATATGAACCAAAGTCACCGGCTGGTCACAGTTTCCCCGGCATAAGATCGTCTGGTCACCATGGCCACACCGAGCACTTCTAATTATCGTCTTAAGAAGGTTACGCCGGGTACCTCGGATGAATATCTTGGGAAATACTTCTTCTTGTATCACAAGCCATTGATTCGATAGAGACGAAGTAATTAACTCTCGTAAACCGCGATCGTCAAC